TTTAAGACAAAGCACCATGAATCCAAAACAGCTCATCTGGCATCACTTATTTGGGGCTGTTCCTTTTTTTTTTTTCATTATTTATTCTTTATAGAAAATGAAAGGCTCTGGAAAAATGCTAATGTGGGGAAGCAGTGTGTGACCAAAAGAAAATGAAATCGGTGTCTGCCTCATGGAAACCCCTTGGGAAATGATCTTAAGGGTTCGTTTATAGCGTACTACTAGTTTCTGTTTGTGAAGTTGACAGCCTGTTTGATGACCAAGAAGAGTAAAAAATCAGCGATTTCCCTGATGGAAGGCAGTCAAAGCCTAAGGAATTCAGCCTAAATCGTTCTGAATTTTAACTGCCTGCCTTTTTGTTTTTCTTGTGTGTGTCTGTTCCCAGATGACAAACAGTAGGGCAGTCATTAGTATGTCCAGAGCGTTGCCATTTCCTTCCAAGAACGATGGATTTTGCAAGAGAGGGCCCTTAACCTGGGGGCTGCTGCGGAGCCGGCCAGACCGCGCTGGCGTCTCCTGCTCACATCAGTGCCTAGTGGCTTCGGCTACGAGTTGTCTCTGTCTAAAAGTAAGAAGAATTCTGGCCCAGAGGCATGTAAATGTGTGGCTGAAAAGTCCCTTTAAATTATGTTTAGTATTTGCCTTTTTTTTTTTTTTTTTCAGTGCTTTCATATATAATAATTTAACTTATGTGCACTTCATATAGCAGCTGGAAAAGGTCACAGGTAACAGCCTTTTGGGCCCTGACTGCATAAATGCATCGGACTTCTTTGACCTGGTTGTAGGTAGCCCTGTACACAAGGTAGCGAGGAGACCTGGCATGGCTTTTTGTGACTTCTTTTTCCTGCTGAAATACTGAAAATACTGATTAACAAGCTTAAATCTTGATGCAGTATTTATCCTCCCCCCCAAAAAGGCAAAATCTGTGAATATTTCTACTATTTTGCCACCTCTTTATCTTAATGGTGTCACTTCAACAAAATGATGTGGAGATTCAGAATGATTAAGTTGCTTTTGTTAGAGTGTATATTTCCTTAGCAGTTCAGTGATGGCTGAAATGTTGGTCTCAGAAGATCCTGAATACATGTTTTCATTGGGGATATGTAAATAGTAGCTGCTTTTTTGATGAACCAGTTATCAATGGTAATAAATCCAATTCACATCTGGAAAATTAAAATTTTTGATATTCCAAACAGTTCCTCACTTGTTGTCTCTATTTCCCCCAGGATTTCCCTCAATCTGTTTATCCTTAATTGAGGAAATGGGAGACCTGGAATGGGTTGGAGCCTTTACTTGACTACTACATTCTCCTTTCTCGAGTTAGCAGTGGGTTGTACTTTTAGAACAATGTCAACAAATACAATTTTGACCCAAATAATTAATTTAAGTTGGAATGGTCCGACCTTGTTCTGAGGGTAGTTCTTTTTATTTTGGGATCTTGGCGCAGTAGCACTGGAGCGGTGAAACATTCCCCTTCTCAACGTGGAGTCTCTGTCACATCAGACAATTTTCAAATGTCTCCTCATGTGAAAATGTTTTCTCCAGACACACGGGATGGGAGTTGCCAAGAACACTGGGAACAGATAGAAAGTTAATCAAATGTCCTGAAGTTCAGATTTGTGGCTATTTTTTTCTCCCCATTTCCCTGGGTTACCGACCACCGAATTTAAGTGGATAGATGTTCCATATGTTTCACGTTAAATTTTAAGAATGATTCTGGAGTAACTTTTCAGATATTTAGAGCCTTAAATCTTTAGCCTTACCCATCTTTAACCTTACCCATTGTTAGTTTTTCCATGTGGGATGTATTATGCTTTCCTGTGTGACCAGGAAAGAGCGTTTTGGCAGTGAGGCTGCCGCTCTCCGGGGCGCCCGCGCGGTGCCTCGCAGGCCGCGGGGCTGCTTGGCACTGCACACAATTTGCTCCATCTTTCACAGAATCACAGAATGGTTGAGGTTGGAAGGGACCTCTAGAGATCATCTGGTCCAACCTTCCTGCTCCTGCAGGGATACCTAGAGCATTGGGCACAGGGTGGCAGCCAGGGATTTCACAGGATGGTCCCCTCAGGAGCAGCTCAACGGGAGCGAGCCGGCTGGAATGCAGGCCGGAGGAGAAGGGCCCTCCCTTGGCGGGGCTTTGCTCTGCACCTGGAGATTTCAAACGCCTCATGAGCTGAGTAAAGTTTTTCATGGGATCATTTGTTGGGGGAGGTAGGAAGTATTACTTCCAGTCACAGAAACGGCCAATTTAACAGATTTCTCATATGTAGCTGTTTTAAGGGTAGAGGTGAGCCCAGACTAGAAACATTCGCATGTAGAGAATGAAGTGAGATATTTCTGTGACACTTGGCTTGCTTTCTTGCTCCTTAGTATCCACATTGCCTTCTACGTTGCTGGTTCCAGCATTGCTGTATGATAGTAAATCCATTTTTTTTAATTAAATCAATAGTGGTTTTCTTTTTTTCTCCACAGGAATTTTGTGTGTGAAATGTCTGCATAGCTATAGATAGTAATTGAGGGATACAGAAGCTTGCTGCTTGTAAGGAGGTGTCTACACAGCACTGATATGTGCTGGTTTTGGTGCCCGTAGCTCTGTGCTGCTGTTTGGGCTAGCAAAAACGCAAGGAAAAATTTGGAAAAGTTAATGTTAGTCTTTTTGGTAGCTTGTCTGAAAGGGGCTATTGAGCACAGTGCTGCTTGCTGGAGGAAATCCTGGTTGTGAAGACGGCGTTGGTGCCTCCTGCTGAAATGACCTGCTAGGGAGAGGTGCTCTGTTGTTGAATGGTGCTGCCTGGCTGGTTTTTGAGGTAGGTGATGAAAAGCGTGCTGGGCATGTCTCCCAGGTAGTGTGTGCCCTCAGAGGGGGCCTGATGCTTGGCCGCAAAGAGAGTCCTGGTTTTAAGCTGCCCTGTGCTTGCTGGCTGGGCTGTGTGTAGGAAAAGCGGAGGTGTTTTTGTCACCCTGCCTTTCGCAAGATTTTGCATGAAAACGACTAAGAAAACTACCCAAAGTCCATGACTCGTCAGCATTTCAGTCTGCGTCCCCTCTCTTCTACATGGTGCCGTTAGTTTTGCTTTGAACACTGGAGGATTTCCTTGCAGCACGTTTGCTTTCTGGAGGGAAATGTGTTTAGTTCACGGCTGGTGCAGGCTCCGCTCTGCAGTCACCAAGAAGTGTGTGTCTCCTGTCCACCAGTGCCTGGTGGGAACAGAGGGCCAGTGAGCATAGAAAGGAAAGTGCTTAATCCTGCCAAAACTAAATGTTCTCTGGAAAATCACTGGAGTAAAGCACCTGGAGATGAGAAGAGGAAAAAGTAGGATCACACACAAAATGGGTAACTTAAAAACCTATTCTGAAGCAAAGAATACCACCAAACTGCTTGCTTCCCAAAGTCTCCAGTTCCATAAAAGCCAAAGCTGGGCTTCCAGGGGTGCAGAGCTCTGTGTAAAATCAGACCCCAGCTTCCAGGTGTGTTGGCCCTATGGATAGGTCCAGCATAGGTGGGTTTTGGAGGTCCAGTTTTGCAGGTTCTTTTTTAGTCAATGGGGGAGCTGCTCTGCTTGCACCACTCGGTGAGTCAAATGGAAGTAACATATCCAGCTCACATCGTTATCCTGCAGTTTTAATTTGTTCCTGATGTTTTCTTTGGAGAATTAAATAGGGCCTTTCAAAGAAAGGTCCTGGAGAGTCTTGGCAGCAGCAGAAGAGTAATACCTGCCTCTTCTTTGCAGAGAGGGAGTGCTCATGTTAAGTGAATCCAGGTAAGTTTGACCACTGGAGCACATCATCTAGACCTGCTGACAGCCACTGATGAATTGATTTGAAGTATAATGTGGTTTGGATTATGCGGGAGCTGGAGCCCTCTGCTTCCTGCTCTACATCAGGTGTAGAGTTCTGCTGAACGGATTCTGTTTTATACAAAATTAGTTTATCTTGATAAATGTTATATCACTGAAACCCACAGATTTAGCAGTGTAGTCTTTTCTCGGTGGATATAGCTGTGCTTTTGAATTCACAATCCATTAACTTTTATCTTGTCATTTGAGATAGCAGTGTAGTTTTGAGCAGGATGAGGAATGCTGGGGAGTATATTCATGTGAGCATATTCCCCCAAAGTTTGGTGCTAGAATGTATAACATTTTCAAAGGTCAATATTTTAAATTTCTGCCTCAAAATACAGAGTTGATGTAAATGGAAGTGTTTGGAGAGGTCTCAGGAGCTACAGTAGGTCCCACTGTTGCCTAGTGTCACAAGTGAGAGCATTCCAGGATGCAGTTCTGCCTTTCTTCTGGCTTTGGGATCACACACAGCTCCCAGCACCTCGCTTACACTTTTCCTCAGTTTATGGCATGGTGACAGGACAGCTATTCCAAATAGTTACTGAAACACAAGGGATTGGGGATGTTGTTTTCCTCAAGTGCTGTGGTGGATGGAGGTCACAATGTTCCTTGGCTGGTGGGCAGCAGGAGGAGCACGAGGGAAGAAGGCAGTTAGGAAATCCTGGGCTTGCCGAAGCCCTGTCTGCAGGAGCAAAGCGGCCGCCTTTCCGTTGATCACAGCAAGCCTTGGATCAGTCACTAAACGAAAGAGACAACTGCCTTTTGTAATCAGGGGTGATGAAAAGCCCTGGTGCTTCAGGACACTGCAAAACATTCACTGAAGTCTTAATTAGTCACTGTTTAATTGTTCCTTTGCTGAAGTCCCTCTTCCGCATCTTTCCTACGTTCAAAGTGCTCAGATGTTTCAGGCTGCAGGTGGAAACTAATCTGTCCTAATGAGAACAGTGCCTGAAGAGACTGTGAGTAGCAAGTGGCAGCTGAAAGGAGTTACAGCAAAACCTGCCTGGGCAGGGCTGTCCCAGTGCTGCAGTGTGAGGATTTCAGCCCATGGTAGGATGAGCTTGTGCTGGTTTCCTGAGCTTGGGCATGGGGCTCCAGCAGCCTGGAGCTGCAGGGGGAATTGAGGAGGGCCCAGAGCTCTCTGCAGGTGGAGGCATAAGGGGACACTTACCAGAAAGAGAATTTTAGCAGTTTTTGAACTAATGTTGAAAGCTTTGTGGAGGGAATGCTAGGTGTCCTCTTGGTGGGAGGAGCGGATGGGCCAGGTCAGGGACAGAGAGGTTTGTGAAGGCTCTGGAAAACAGTCACTGCCCAAGAGCCCTGACTCGGGAAACTTTGCAGAGAAAGACCTCAGGTAAGCTTAGTTTTGAGAAACACATAAATCTTGTAAATGATTTTTGAATGATATTTGTTGCCTTTTCAATTTAGGATTTTTACTCCTTTACATCAGAAGTGATTTTTGGCAGCTTATAGTGTATTAGAAAAACAAGCACGTGCAGTGGGCAGCATTAATCAGGGAAATGTCCCTAATGTGTTTGTTCCGAAGTTTACTGTGCTGCTTCAGGAAGCAACAGCCTGACCTTTAGTTTCTGGTATGGTTTGAGGGTTTTCTTACATGTACGTGAAGCTTTCCAAGAAAAACGAAGTGACTGTGGTTTGGCATTTAAATCACAAATGTTGTATCAAGCTAGAGAATTTCAGAAGTCGTTAATACATAGATGTCATTTTGTTCACTTGAGGATAAACTTTGCCCCTGTCTGTCCATATGTAGCTCCTTTTTGGTCCAAATTCAGATTTTGATAATTCTGATGTAAATCTAAATGCCATGCTAATGTCAATAGAGTGAGTTTCTTTGGATTTCTTTGAGAAGAGATGTATGTGTATTTGAGAGTCTTTAAGGGTGCAGAAAGCAGGCGGACGTCAGCCTGCACGGCTGGGGATTTGGCCCGTTGGGGCTCTGGCAAGATGTGGGTCTGCTATGGCCTTCTCTGGGGTGCAGCTCCTTCGGGTGTTGAGTTTAGATATGGAGCTGAAGGCCATATAGGAAGGCTGAATTGGTTTACCTGATTTTTCTTTTTTACTCTTTTTTTGGAAGTGTATGTTATTTAAGTCATTCCTTGCTGTGCTGTGACGTGGTTAGGACAACTGCTGTGAAGTGTCTCACAGAAGAGCATCTTTGTGGCACCACAAGCTCGTCAGGGAAACCTCTCTCAAAACATGTGTGGGCCTGAGGGGCTCCCAGGGCTGTGTGTGCCCACCCGGCTGTGGCCCGGGATGAGGAGCATGTGGAGGCGCCTGGCGGGGCTGCCAGAGGCCTTCGAGACTGAACGTGTCTTTAAGAGGGATTTCCAGATTGCGGTTGAAAACTGTTCCTTGTTTGTGAATATAGTGTGGTTCTGAGATCTCTTCTCTCTCTTGGAAGAGAAGATTTTCTCTTAAGCCCTTCAAAGAAACAAATGGATGAGACTTAGTGGTTTCCCCCCCCCCCCCCCCCCCCCCCCCCCCCCAAATTTCTCAAGGAGAAAATAAAGGTTTTTTTGCCCAGCAGCCTTTGACTGCAGAACTAGATTTGGAGAACAAGCCACTTCTCATTGAGGAGGAGAAAAAAAACATTGTTCCCAAAATTTGCTCACTCCCAAATCCATATGTGGGGCTGTAGGAAAGTGGTCTCTTCTTCCTCGCTATTCCCCTACATCTATCTAGTGAGTTTTTGAGAACAGCTTGTCCTGGGAGGCTTTTAAGTCTGATTTCTGACTGAATTTTACAACTCAATATATACCGGAATAAAACCAAACTGAGATGCCTGCTTTAAAAATAGCTTGGTCCTTATGGTGCCAATCGACTTGGTGCACTTTCCATGTGGACACTAAAATGATGTGAGTTTGAAGAGCTGAGCGACCAAGTTAGTTAATCATTGCTGCTGACCACAGCTGGGGAGCGTTGTGAAATACACTTCCTGAAACTAATCATTGTAGCATCCCAGTTAGCATAGACTTATTAAAGATGTGAATTCTTTTATTATGCTCTCCAGGTAAAGGAGCAGGTAAAGGACAGCTTGGCAGGGGCAGCCTGTGCTTGACCAGAGGGACTGACCTCAAGGACTTGGGGACTGTATTGCAAAATGAGCAACCTGAGGCAGTGCAGCGAGCCTGTGCGGTCCCCCGTGGGTGTGGAGGATGACTCCTAAGGATGTCATCACCTTTTGTGTGTAATCGTTTTGTCTCCTGAGAGGTCAGTGTGGTCAGTCCCATGGTGCCATTGTGGGTGGGATCCATTATGCTTTTCATCTGGTGTTACCCACTGAGAGCAGGTACAGGACTTCAGGGAGGTCCCCTTTGCTTTGCCCAGGTGGTTCTCAGTTCTCAATTATTACAGTAGTTGTTGCCCTTTCTAACCCTGACTGCTTGCACCTGCAAGCCAAGGGAGGGGGTGGAACTGGGTGCAGAGACACAGGATACCCAGGAGGTCTTGTGCAGAACTGGCCTGACAATGCACTAAGTCAAAGCTCTCATCTTGTGCTTTGTAAAAATCAGATATATGCAGTTCTTCATACCCTTGGAAGAAGGTTTTGGAATAGAGTTTAGATACCTGAAAGGAGGTATTGAGACTTCTGTGTTATGTGCTGCTTCATTGCTTACCTACTGTGACAGATCTGATCCGGGAGCTGTGTTGCAACAGGTTGAGTTTGCACCGTAAACAGTGGGCTGTGATTCCCTTTCAGGGTGGATTATTCAATGTGTTTTCTGGGTCCTTTGCACAAACTCAAGATTTGCTTTAGAAAATATTTGATACCTTTCTGCTCTGCACCGCCGAAATTGAAAGGAAAATTGTTTTTCTAGCTAATGAATGTAATTTGAAAAGTACTTAAAAGTAACAGAGAGCATGTGGAGTCTGGCTGGTTCTCAGTAACATTGGAACCAACTGGCTTTGTGAAATATTATTCCTATAACATGGTTTCACTGAACTCCCACAGAATATTGACATTTTACCTTATCTAGCTAGTCTTAATTTTACAGCATGCATTTTCCAAGCTGGTGGGTAAAATAAAGCTTGTATTTACAACTCTCTGGCACTTCTCCCCGTTCCTGGCTAGTACTAATTGGTGGAGGGGTAAGTCCTTCTGCAGTGAACATGGCACAGGGGCACTGGGACAGGTCAGGTGGAGGGGACACAATTCCCGTGTCCCTAGTGGCCCTTTGCCCCTTCCCCTGGCTGGCCCTTAGGCGCTGCCTGCGGCTCTGGGCCGAGTTACGGCACTTGCAACCGCTCGGCCCTTGCCCAGGGCGCCGATGACCTGCCGTGCTAATGGGAAGGTTTCACCTGGTTTCAGTCCCTAATGTGGGCCTTTCATTTAGTAAGTCGTTCCAAAAACCATGTGGTTACTACTGTAAACATTTATTCCTAGTGTGTATCTACAGATAAGTACTAGGAATAATGCTGGATTGATCATCAGTACTCAGCTTAAAAATCACTATGTCAAAACCAGCTTCTTTTTGTTTTCTGAATTGGCAACAGAGCATGCACAAATGCGGCATTTGGATGTCCAGAACCCCCTGGGATTTCACCATCTTACCTGGAAAATGTCAGCCTTTTATATTAATAATTTAGTCACTGGGGAGAAATGGAATTGACTGTAACAGCAATTCTTTGCTTTTAGATGATAATGATAAGCTGCAGCCCGCAGCTATTAATGTCATAAGCCCAGAGCTATTGATTCTTTTTGCATAGAAAAAATGGAGGATGCACAAAGTAGGTCTTCCTGCATCTTCTGATGTTGTTCTGCAGCTTTTTACAGCTGGCAGATACGAGTGGCCAGTACTATTTCCTTTAAATCAAGCTGTTCTGTCTCCTGTTGACTGACCAGACTGGGTGGGTGTTCCTTGCTTGCTAGAGGAACTAAGTTGTTCAGACAACATGTGGGGATTAGCTGCATGTCGAACTACTGCAGGAAACAAATATTCTCATCGAGATGCACACAGTGCAGACTTTACGGAGTCTTCTGGAAAGGAAAATATTTTTCTGTCTAAAAAGCATTTCCTATCAAGTGACTAGCTGCAAAGGAAACAGCCTAGAAATGTTCTCTGGCTGAAGGTCAGGCTCGGTACATACTTTGAGTTTGCCATTGTGGTTAACATCACTAAAAATTTTTCTAGTACTTCGTAATTTTTCCTCTATATACCTAGTGTTAATAAACATAGGTAGAGCAATAACAGTCCATCTGAGCCAACCCATTTGATCTTTTCTTTTGGTAGCACTGAAGCCAAGATTTTGCAAGGGATAATCGAGAGATTCAGGTTTGGCTCTGCTCCTGTTTGAAATGACTGTTAAAATATTGACTTCTCTGCTGCTGGATCATGGGCCTGAGTTTGATTTTGAAGAAGGAAATAGCTCGGTGGACAAAATATGGCATCAGTGGAGATGAAACTGGGCAGATGAGGTCAGCGTGTGAGATGTGCAAGTGGGTCGCGTGCCACGCACTGCTCCTCAAGCATAGGAAGCTCAAACAGTAGCGTGGAGCAAGATGTTTTTCTAACCACAGCTAGTAAGCTTGCTAAACCTTAAGCCAAGTTGGAAAGCTGCTCTTAAGAGTACCAGGAGATATGTAGCTGTCTGCTGCACAGTTTAAATTTGTTTTTAATATCACCAATGTGCTTTTTGCAACCAAATCCCGCAGCACGCCTCACTCCCACAGTCGGCGCCACGGTCATTCCTGCTGTCCCACTGGGGCTAGTCCCCTCTGGAGCTCTTGCTGCTCTGAGGGAAAGCGATGGGATGGGGCCAGGGCTGGCAAAGGGCAGCCTGCCTGTGCAGCAGGGCAATATTCTAGTTTTCCCTGGGGCAGTATAGGGGCTTTTAATGCTTTGCAGGGAGAAACAAGATGATTCCTAAATTTGTCATCATCCCTTAGAGTCTTTGAGCCCTGCCTGGTTTTGGCACTCACAGGTTTGTTATGGTGCAGGTTGCAGGGGTAAAGCATGACCTGTCATGGATGTGACCTCGGTGATGCTAAGGACAGGCAGGATGGTGCTGATAACTCTTTGGTGCCTGTGTTCTTTGCCAAAGAGAGACTTGAAATGCTCCAGATAGAGCAGAACCTCGCAGAACCCACAGGTACGTGTATTTAATCTGCTCTCATGAGCTATGGAACATTGCTTGGTTCATGCCTGAAGACCTCAAGTTATTCATGCTGCCTATGGCCATGTGCTGCAGCGTTTTTGCTGCAGTGAAATTCTCACATAAGTGCAACTGGAATAAGCTGTAAAGGGGAAAGCTGTGTCAATCAAAATAATAAAAAATGAGGGCATGCTCCTAATAAATGCCTTAACTTAATTATAAATACATGCACACTTTGCA